ACGAGATTTCAAATCCCTCTTGAGAACATGGTTATACAGATCATTTAAAAGACAGTAAATTACTATTCCCCTCCTCACTTCATCTACTGTCCTTAGAAACAAGGATTGACTGTTTATGCAGTTGCCATTTCAAAGTCAAATACCGGAAGACAAATACTGCGTGATCTGAGAATTGCTAAAAGAACATCCACCTGATGAATTTTAGACTTTCTTGATTATTGTTCTTTTTTGAAGCTTGAGGAAAGCACAGCTGAAGCCAAACAAATCAAACCACCACAAGCTATCCATGTTGATTAAAATCATTGCTATTAAAAATTACCTAAATATATGCAACATAAAATTGGTTATAAATTTACTGTACTTGTAACCTGTATTGTATTGTACTTACAATACTGAAGCAAATTTCAAAATTAGACAAAGCTAGGAGGTTAGCACTATTGGAATCAATCATTGATTTAATATAATCATTGGTAATTTTTTGCCAAAATTAATTTGCTGCTTGCAGCCCTGTACCAGATGACTGAACTCTCCTGCCGTTTCTCAGTCCTCATTACCATAAAGCCTGCTGGCCAGCAGAGCTGACATTTGGGTACCACTTACTGCGTGCTCATCATTTACCATTAAGTGCACGTCTGTTTATTTCTTGTTAGCCAGAGGCAATACAATAGTACACCTTGGCCCCAACAGAACCATAAACACAAACTCCAGAGCTAAAATTATACGAAATATTAAGCTATCCAGGAGTCATTCATAAGACCCAGAACATGCTTAAGTTATTTTTAAAGCTCTCATCATAACCATTAAATGATCAAAAGTTTGAGAATCTCCTTGAGAACCCTCAGAATTTGTGGGAAGCGGTTTCTTTGACCAAATCCACCTTGAGTAACACTAGATGAAGGCTTGATAAGAAAGAATTAAAATGCAAGTCTTATTTATAAAGAGCATGCCAAATCTTGCACACTCTAATTCAAAACAATTTGAGTAGAGAAGGGAATGACCTTGAAGAAAAGGAAAGACAATCCTCTTTGGCTGGAGTTACGAAGTAAAGCATTTGTATGTAAAGCATTTGTAATGATGATACCAAGCCTTGGGAAGATACTGGAAGGCAGTAGGTAGCTGAGACCAAACTGATCATAATGCAGGAAAGAAAAGAAGGTGATTAAAAACAATCTGAGGCAGAATGTGAAGCATAATATGAATAGTTTAAAAATGTTATGACATTAGTAAATATTATAGATGCAGTTATATTATTATATTTAGTTCAAATATGCTCATATAGAATTATAGCACTCCAGAAAGCAAAGAGGCAGGTTTCTAAAATAAACTGTTTCAGTTCCTAGAGAGATTTTTCACAGTGCTAACTGAGGCAAACAAGCTTTCAGAAAATACTTACTGATTGGCATTTTTGGCATGTTATGCACTATGGACTCTGTAGACTCACAACTTTCTCTGATTTGAGTAGAAATGTCTATTTTTAAAATAATTCTGTTAAGAACTGATTGTTGGCACAGTAGTTGTTTAAATATAGATCAGCATGTGAAATGATTATGCTGGGTTTGATCAGTAATTTAGTAATTGCCTTCTTAAAAATTTTTATGTTTCTTTTTAAAGAGTATAATTTATAGTTGATTTTTTATAATGTGCAATTTAATATAGATAACAAAGAACTTTTTAATGAAAAGAGCTTTGTAATCATTTGGAGAATAAGCTTATTTTACTGTGGAACAATGTGATATTCTCAGTAAGTACAATTTTAAAATTCTAGCAAATTTCAAAAAAAAAAGAGCTAATAGATTGTATACTTTAGAAAAGGTTAATTTAGGGGAGGAAGTGCCAAGATGACAGAGTAGAGAGACTCAGCTCACCTGCTCCCACAAACACACCAAGAATTACATCTACAAACCCGCTGAATCGCACAGAACACCTACTGAACTCTGGCAGAGTGTCTCTTGCTTTGAAATATAGGAAGATTCTCACAAAATCTGATAAACAACAAGTTCATACTGTATAGCACAGGGAACTATATTCAATATCTTGTAGTAACTTATGGTGAAAAGAATATGAAGGCAAATATATGTATATTCCTATATGACTGAAGTATTATGCTGTACGCTAGAAATGGACACAATATTATAAACTGACTATACTTCAATAAATATGTATATAAACAAAGGAAAAAAGAAAAGGAAAGAAAGAAAGAAAGGAAGAAAGAAAGAAAGAAAGAAAGAAAGAAAGAAAGAAAGAAAGAAAGAAAGAAAGAAAGAGAGAGAAAGAAAGAGATAGAGAAAGAAAGAAAGAAAGAAAGAAAGAAAGAAAGAAAGAAAGAAAGAAAGAGAGAGAGAAAGAAAGAAAGAAAGAAAGAAAGAAAGAAAGAAAGAGAGAAAGAAAGAGAGAAAGAAAGAAAGAAAGAAAGAGAGATAGAGAAAGAAAGAAAGAAAGAAAGAAAGAGAGAAAGAAAGAGAGAAAGAGAGATAGAGAAAGAAAGAAAGAAAGAAAGAAAGAAAGAAAGAAAGAAAGAAAGAAAGAAAGAAAGAAAGGAAGGAAGGAAGGAAGGAAGGAAGGAAGGAAGGAAGGAAGGAAGGAAGGAAGGAAGAAGAAAGGGACGAAGGAAGAAGAAAGGGAGGAAGGGAGGAAGGAGAGAAAGAAAGAAATGGTTAATTCTGTATGAAAGAATATTCCAAGCAATCCAGTTTGGGGAGGATTTTACTATTTGAAAAAGCTTGGGAAATATAGCAGTTCTTTGAAACAATTTACTGGAGTCTTAAACCACAGATTTGAGTCCCAGATCTAGTGATATTAAGCTAGCTTCATGATTCCTATGGATTTCAGTTTTGTTCCCTATAATAAATAGGAGGGAGTTGGCAAAAATAATCACTGGTTCAACCCTTCCATATTATTAAACCATACCGCTGAAGAAGTTTCCTCTAATCTGCATCCTAAACCTCTCCAATATTAATATTCAACAAAAAGAGAAAGAAATTATTTCTCCCTGTAATTATCTCGTTGGACCTCACATCTATCGTAGAGGATTTCCATCACACCCTAAATGTGTGCTTGTTCCTAAGAGCTAGTGTGCTAAATCCTAGCTGACAAACAAGCTGCTTCCGTGCTTCAATTGCAGAAAGGAAGAAAAATACACTGTATTTTTAGAATGCTGTTTATATTATCTCAGTCTTTGAAAAAAATCATTTTGGCCTTTCTTACTGCCACCCCGCAGGAAAAAAAAATCTATCCCCAGGACTTGACAATGAATTTATTTTTTGTTGTTGCTGTTTATTTAGCATAACCAATCACTCTTTAGCCAGAGGAATGGTGTCTCAAGGCCACCACAGAACTATTCAAAATCTTGGTTCATTAATGATCAAATAAAGAATGTGACCTTTCCAACTTCCTAAAATATTTTCTTACTAAGAATCTATTTTGGCTTTTGGTTTTGATTTTTTTCCTTTCTTTTCTCCTCCTTTATTCCTTTTTTTAAACTTCTAATTAATGTAGCAATTTTTTTTTTCTCCCTAGTGAAGACTCTTCAAAGCAAACAAAACCAGGTTAGTTAGATCTCCTTTTCTTTCCATGACGTAATATGTTGTTCGGCACTCAGAAAAGCTCCGTTTGGGTGGCCATTCTAGAGAAGCACAGAATGCCATGTGGGTGGGCAAGACCAAAATCAGAGTTGCCTCAGACTTCCATGCCCAGAATAGCCACAGAAAGCTCTTTGATCTCCAGCTTGTCTCATCTGCCTCTATCTATCGCAACACGGTCTCTGCAGACGGGGTTCCTGAGCACTCTCCTTTTCTGCTCATTCTTTAGAATTGATCTTATCAATCGTTCATCAGACTACTTTCATCTACCTGAGTCTTCTGAGAATTCTTCTAAAGAATCTCAGGTTCCAGAAAGTTCCTACAGGGATTCTATGATGCCAAATAGGTTATTTTAGTATGCAGCCACTATAAAAAAAAAAAAAAAAAGAAACTAAACTAAACCACTGGATATCTGGCAATTGCTATTTAGAAAAGAAATTTTAAAAGATGGGAGATTGGACTAGTCTGGCTTTAAAAAGTAGACCCATCGCATCAGGGGAGGGTAGAGAGATGAGTAATAGACAACATTTGCTGAAGGGCAGCTCATGACACACTTAAATATTATAATGCAGACACTTTGAAAGCAATTAAAATATGTTTTTCTCAGCATTTATTTAAAGAGTCTACCAGATTTGGTTTGATTTGGTTGGATTTTTAATTATTACCCCTGGGAAGCTGATCCAAAAGGTTTATAACATACTTGAAGGTAAACAGACTTATTCAGTCCTTCATAGTGAATTTCTGTTTATCTTCTCCCACAACCAATGGCATCCAAGAATTATACAGAGATCACGTATAGTAACATAGCTCATTAAATAACTTCCAATGAACGAGGTGGCAAAATCAATATTACTTTAGAAAATAACTGCCATTCCCTTTGAGAACGGTATTATCTGGTGATTCCTGTGGCTGCTGTAACAAACTATCACAAGCTTGGTGACTTAAAAGAATAGAAATGTATTCTCGTACAATTCTGTAGGCCAGTAGTCCTAAACCAGTATCACTGAGCTAACATCAGGATGTTGTCAGGGCCACACTCTGTCTGGAGGCTCTAGGGGAGAACACATTCCTTGCTTTTCCAGTTTGGGGCAACTGCTGGCATTTCTTGGCTTGTAGCCACATCATTCCAATCTCTGCCTACGTGGTCACATCACATGTTCCTCTTCCTTGTGGAGTCAAACATCCTTCTACCTCCCTCTTGTGAGGATACATGTGACTGCCTTCAGGGCCTCCCTGATTATCCAGGCTGCTCTCCCCATCTCAGCATCCTCTGTCACACCTGCAAAGTCTTCACCGTATAAATTAGCATATACATGTGGAAATTTGGATTACTGGGGTTAAGATCTAACATCTTGATCTGGCCTAGGATAAAATCCATCTGTCCTTCCAGCTGGTGCTTCTTGTCTAAGAGTGACAATTTCAGTAAATAAATTCCCATAAACAACTGGAGTCTTAGACAGTTAACGCTTTATGTTAATATTTTGAAAAACAAAACATTTTGAATGTTACACTCTGCTATAAATTATTTGGTGAACTTTTAAAATCGCTTTGAAAAGATTTCCCTAGAGACGTGATTTTGTAAAATTGATTACTAATATCATTTATTTTACACCTGAATAAGTATATTTGCCACCTAAATTTCCCCAGGTAGTCAGCATCAAGAAATACTCAATTCTCACTTTCTTTCTTAGTTCTCCTGAATATAGATAAAATAAAATACAATTTTTAGTATGTATTTAATGGAACAATTCTATTTATATATCTACATGAACCGTTAAGTAGGTGGATTCTAAATCTGGGAATGTTCTGGATGCCATTAGTCTGAAAATCCATGTATCTCACCTACTACCACTGATAATTGATCTCTTTTGTATACTGAGATCAAGATCTGGGGGCTACTTGCTGCTGTGTTAAAGCTTCTTCTTCTTCTTTTTTTAAAGACACACTTTGTGAGTTGACATTAGACCCCTCCTAGACTCATACTAGAAATGTCTTCACTGACATGAGTAACGCACATGTTCCTCAAGGATGATACTCACCAGCTTGAAGTCTAAACAAACATTTCATCGAATTTGTTCCAACTGAGCTTTCCCTCCATCATCCAGTCATTGGGGCCATCATCTCTATCTCCTGCATCCATCCTTTGTGTCCCTAACATACTCGCCACAAGGGAAACATATCATCAAACTCAAGTAATTCCTAATGGAGAAAACTAAGTTTCTTGGCTGGAAGTTTCCATTTCTATTTTTTCTTCAGTTCCTTTCCAGCAGACCTGTACATCACTCACTTTCTAATGTCTTCCCCAGGTTATTTCCTTCTACCTCTTGAGCAGATTTTGCTTCTTGTTTTTCTGAAACAATTCACTGCGGCTATTTCTAAGACATACGTTTAGTCATGTGTTATCTACCATCTAGCATTCCTTGTCCCGCTTTCCAGGGCATAACTCTACAACTTTCCTCCTCTAAGCCATGTGGTTTAGTTTAGGTTAAA